GCTGCCAGAGCTGGGGGCTCAGCACTGTGTTTCACTGCAGGAGGAGAAGATTTATGTTCAGCACTGCATCCGAGAGAACCGAAGGCTGGTGTGGGAGCTGCTGAGCAGCGGGGGTGCTCATGTCTACCTGGCTGGGTGAGTGAGAGGTCTCCGTGCAGGGACTGCGGGAGGGGGGCTGCATGTTGCTGCTTTTCCATCTCCCTGGAGGCTTTCCCTCAGCTCAGCCTCCAGAGCAAGCACAGCCTGTGCCCTGGCAGGTCTCTGGGTGCTGCCATGACTGCTGCAGAGGGATCACCTTGTTCCTCATTTCTGTACATCCTGCTCTGCAAGCCCTGGGCTGAGAGCCGTTTCTCACCTTCCCTGCTCTCTGGTTAGGTGGGGCAGAGCTGGAGCCATGGTAAAGCTGCTCCAGCCAACGCTGTGTGCCTGTCCCTCCAACTGCCAGCACCCATGGCCAGTGTTGCCTGCCAGCGGGCTGCCTGGCCTCTGACCCAGGGCAAATCCATATGGGGAGAGTCCTGGCCTCTTCACACCCTGCTCCTCCAGCGGGGCTTGGTGAAACTGAAGAAAAAGACTTGTGTGGTTCCTGTGGCTGCTGGGGTGGGCAGGAGGCTTTTAAAGCACAATATACAAGGGCTCCACCATCACTGAGGCTCGTGAGCAACAGCTTTTGGGACCCTCAGCACATCCTGGCTCACTCTTGGCACCCAAAACTGCCTTCCTGGTACAGGGATGAGCAGCACTGCACCACAGCCTGCTGCTTGGACAGCACAATCGTTCACCAGGGGGTTGCCATGGGCTGGTTGGAAATCTTGAACTGTTGGCCAAAAAGTGGGTCCTGGTCTTTGTAGGCAGAGTACCTGCAGCTCTGTTCATAGCTCTGTGGCTCTTTTCCTGGGCAAAGCCTGCCCTTGCTGCTGCCTGTCTGGCAGGGAGGAGGCTGCTCACCCACTGCCCAGGGCGAGCGTTGTGAAATGCTTTGGGCTCCTCGAGCCGGCGAGAGGCTGGCGATGGTGCTCGTGCACCCCGTGACCTGGAAAGCGCTGTGCAAACCCCTGCTTTGCTGTCAACACAAGCAGCGATTGCAGGAGGCTCTTTCCTGCCTGTCTTACACGACAGCAGGAACTTCTGTGGTGCTTTGCAGGGCGAGACTGGCCTTGCTTTTTTTTGAGAAGGAGCTGTTTTGTTGCCCAGGAAGCAGAGGCCAGGCCGCCCACTGCTCTCTCCTTCACTGCTGCCTGGCCTGGTGTACTTTGCTGCATCATGGGGCTTCCTGGGGCCCTCACCCCAAACCGGTGATTCCTACCCCCAGATCTGGGGCTTGGGTTTGGTTTCCCCCATCAAGCTGTGCTTCGCACCTGGGGTTGTGCTTCCATCCACAGACTGTTGGGTAGCCACTGGGCATGGTGTCTTGATGGCTCTGTCCTCTCCTTCTGCCATCCTCTCCACTTTCTGGTGCTGAGTGATGGAGACATACTGGGGGCTGCCCAAAAAGGATCAGTGTCTTGGGAAGAGCAAGGTTTGCACAGGGTGTTGCAGTGGCCGTGAGGATGGTGTTTGGGACATTGGGGTTGCTCCGAGACCCATCCTGCTGGGTTTTTCATCCCTCAGCCCCGATGAGGCCGGTGGGATCTGAGAGCCTCATCCTCCTTGTTTGCTGTGGGCACTTTCCCACCTCTCCAACAGTCTGCACCACGTGTGGATGCCCAGGATCACGGTGCCCCTCTTCGCTGCCCAACAGGAAAGTGCAGGTGACCTACCCTGACAACAGCCCTTTTTTCCCCAAAAAATAGGCTTTATAGTTTCAGTGACACTAGGAGAAAGATGGGGAAGGTGAATCCTGGGCTGTGCGTCCTTGAGCAGCAATGTGTCTGCCTTCCCAGGCCCACGCTGGCTGGGGCAGGGTCTGAGCAGCTGGGGCTGTGTCTTCTGATTGTGCCCAGCTTATCTCACCCAGGGACAAAAGGTTGAAAACGTCTCTCTTTTTGTGCAAAAAATAGATATTTGACATGTTGTCCATCACAAGCCAGGCTACATTATCTTGCACTTGCACATCAGTGCCTGACTCAGAAACAATACGACTCTTCCAAAAAAAGAAGACCTCTTTTCTGTGTATTTTGGGACGTTAATCAGCTTCAAAAGCAAGTCAGAATTCTGCCTTGTTCTTGGGAAACAGCAAGGACGTTGCCAGATGCTGGTGCCAATTGGAGCAGCCTGGGAAAATTTTTATTAGCTGGTTTTTTTTTTCTTTTTATTGCACAGTGAGTTCATCAAATGAAACTCTCTCCAGGAAAAACTCTGAATTTCTTATTTCCCATAAGAAATAGTCGTGCTTGGGAGTGTTGAATCCTATTTGGGTATTTTCTATGCAGGAGCTTGTGTTTTCTTCACCATCACTGTTATTTTTGAGGTTCGAACTGGCTTTGGTCACAAATGCTGCCATGAAAACAACCGTTGCAGATTTCTTGAGAGGAGGCAGTGGGTGGACGGAAGCGGCCGCTCCTTCGCAGCAGTCGTCTCACCCAGCTCAGGATCAGACGTGTTTTCCATCGAATGCTTCCCCTGAGATGAAAGGACAGTTTCCTGCCCTCCTGCTGATAAATTATGCCTTGTGCATATTCCCTGTGTCCCTCTAATGAGGGTGATGGGAAATGGAGCAATACTGAGGCCAGGGTTAAGGCTATCGAGCTGCAATGCTCCTCCACCAGGGACTGGGTACCGAGGCCACGTCTTTTCGTGCTGGTGTTGAAAAGCCCTGTGTGGATAACGGCGCTGCTCTCAGGGAGTGGTACGAGCCACCTCTCGAAGGCTGTCATTTGTTTGGTGCCAGGCAGCGTGCGTTGCAGGGCGAGACAGGTTCCCGCTGCCCTGATGCAGCAGCGGCCCATGCTGTGTGCCAGGGGCAGTGGATTTGGCTGCAGGGACCGCTGCCCCGCTGCTGAGCTGCCTTGCTGGAGCACTGGGGATGCAGATATGCCCTGGTTTTCCTGCTCGCCCTCCATCACACCAGATACTCTCTCCTTTTTGGAATGCCAAGCAGATGCCAGCGGCAGTGGCCGAAGCCCTGCGGTCGGTGTTGCAGCTGGAAGGTGGCCTGTCACCCTCCGAAGCAGAGGAGCATTTAACAGCCCTGGAACGGTCCCAGCGCTTCCAGTCTGAAACCTGGTCGTAAGCCTGGCTCCCTGCTTCCCCCTTCCCCATGAACTCTGCCTGAATAAAGGAGCCAGCAAAATGATCCGCCTCTGTCATCATCCTTGGGCTGAGACTACAGAATCACAGAATCGCTCGGTTGGAAAAGACCTCTGAGCTCATCACGTCCAACCGCTCCTGTCTACCCCCTAAACCATATCCTTAAGTACCTCATCTACCCGCTCCTTAAACACATCCAGGGATGGTGACTCCACCACCTCCCTGGGCAGCCTGTTCCAGCTTCTGACGACCCTCTCAGGAAAGAACTTCCTCCTTATCTCTAACCTGAACCTCCCTTGGCACAGCTTGGTGCCGTTTCCCCTTGTTCTATCCCCCATCAGCTGGGAGAAGAGACCAGCACCCACCTCTCTCCAAGCTCCCTTGAGGCAGTTGTAGGTGGGGATGAGGTCTCCCCTCAGCCTTCTCTTCTCCAGGCTAAACAAGCCCAGTTCCCTCAGCCGCTCCTCATCAGGCTTGTTCTCCAGACCCCTCACCATCCTTATCCTAGGGGCCTGGTGGAGGGGGTGGATTTGACCACTTCCTTCATGGCAACAGGTCCATGGGGGACAGGAGGAATCCCTCTCCTGGGGCTGTGGGTCTGCTGTGGGCAAAGCCTGGCTCCCCATGCCCACATCTCACTGGCTCAGAGGCGAGAGGTCTCTGGGGATGATGCTGCTGGCTGGCTCCTGCGTGGGCCTGAGCTGACATCCCACGTGCTCCAGCTCCTGGGGTCCCCATGCTGGGTGAGTAGTGCCCGCGGGCATTGCTCGAGCTACGGCGTTGGCAGCGGCCGTTGTTTGTGGTAGGACCTAGAGGAAGTGAGCTGTTGCATGGGAGTCTCTCCACCCTGGCATTAGTCAGCAGCAGCAGCATTTGCTGCAGGAGGCTGCCTTGACAGACCTGTCTCCCCTGTCTGCAGTGGCTGAGCCAGCAGGGCTGGGCGCAGATGGCTTCGATCACTCAGTTCATCTTCCTGAGCCTGCTGGATGCCAAGGTCTGAGCTCCCCAAGCTCCAGTTCCCACTGAGTTATCCCTTTCCCTGAGTGCCTGCTTTGCTGGATCCATCCACCCCATCCTGGGAGCTGCTTCCAGCTGGGGCCAGGTGAGCTGGCAGCTTCCAGCCCTTTTCCTGGCAGCCTTGGGACCGGGTGCCCTCCTGGCCCTGCCAGTGGCCCAGTGGGGCCAGTGCCACCACCTTCCTCACCCAGTTCAGCAAACTCGGTGCCACTGAGTAAATAACAATTAGAGTCCAGGACATGAATCAGCCTGGGACAGACTGGGACAGGAAGGGACAGTGGTGTGACACCACGCCTGTGACCCAGTCACGCTCCCACACGCCGGATCGTGGGGTCCTGCCTGGGCAAGCGGTGCCCCAGGGCATTGCTCAAGCTATGGCACCACAGCGAGTGGAATTAGGGTGGGTTTTGGGTCTCTCTGCTCTGCTGCTTTGCTGGTGCTGCCTTGCCTTGAGGAGCTGTTGCACTTGCAGACCCAGGCTGGGCTGAGTGTCCCTACACCCTGGGGACAGCCAGAGGGTCAGCGTGGAGCTGCTGCATGGCAGTCATCACACTGTGGTGATGCCGTCCCCTGGCATCTGTGCTCTTCCTGCCAAGAAGGTGGGCAAGGTGGCCCAGTGCAGGGGCTGACCCAGGGTACAGGGATGAGCTGGAGGGCTGTACTGGGGCAGCACAGGGCCCGTGCTGGTGTGCTGTACTGGGTGTGAGCCATGGGGCTGGACTGGGAGCAGAACAAGGCCCATGCTGCTATGCCCCGGGGGCAGTGGCGTGGGGAGCGCTGGCACAACCCTGGCTTGGTTTTTGCTGGGCGAGGGGAAGAGGCGGCCGTGGGCCCAGCTCCACCCCGGCTCCCGCGGGAGCTGATTGGCGCGGCCATGGCCGCCTGCCCTGGGCCGCCTGCATTTGAGCCGCTTCCAGCAGCTGACAAACCAGACCGGG